GCCCTTTCATGCATTATAAAAATAATCGCAGCAAAGAAATGTAATGGCATTTTGGGAGAATTCATCTATAAGACCTTCATACCTTAATGCGATCAGAGTTGACTGAAGCTCTTACTCATCCTGTTCTGATAACTTCACAACCTACTAAGTATGACTGCAAATTATAGCTGAATAGGTATGTAACGGCAGTACTGTTGGTGAGAGCAAACGGAATCAGTAAGAAAACTTAGAAGAGTAAGCTTTAATGATAATTATGCTATTTTTAAAAGCATAATATTAATTCTGTTGTGCCTGGAATAATTTTTCCTTCCTGAACACGGTCTTTGTGGCTAATGAAATTGAGGCCAACTAGTCTGATTCACTCAGTAAGTATAATTGGAAGATTGTTGGGAAAAAGTATGTCCAATTAGATTAGTGGTTAATTCTGATTAGTCAATTTTGACGCAAAGAGCAACTGCGTGTTGGCGCGCCAAACCAGAGTACTAGTTCACACTATGTTTTTGTGACTTAGTTACGTATGCCTCAGTAAAATTCAGTCAAAATATTTACTGCCGATGTTGAACAAATTCGAGCGAATCCACTTAACTGAGATTTTACTTTCTTTGGCGCCGACACTATAGAGATATGTGATTTTAGATTGTGAAATGTTCAATCTCTCTCTTCGCTTTCACCAAAGCAAAGGATTCTAATTAGACTTAGCATAGCAGCCTAACAATCCACCAACGTTATTTTGTTATCCAACTTTTTGTGTTTATTCCTATTTTGAGGGCAACATCATGAATGGGGAGTGCAGCTCAACAAAGACTTCTTGGTCTGCGCGCGACAGATTTATCTGGTACTTCTACGTCTGGTTCATGCCATTGGCTAATCACACTGGCACCATCTGTAGTGGCCTCTGTTTCGTCGTACTACTTCGCCACCGACGGGTGTTTGCATCATCAACTCGAGCCTGGTTTCTCGCCCTCACTGCGAGCGACTTTCTCATTCTGCTCTTCGCCGGCAACGACATGTACGCCGAGGTGACTTTCCCTCACGCCTATCATTATTTTATTGGATGTGTGCTCGGCCCGTACACTTGCATAATCCGACTCAGCACGATTGTTGGTCTTCTCTGGAGCTCGAATCTTCTTCAAGCTGGACTCTCTCTTGAGCGGCTCATTTCCATCTTGGCTCCATTGCGCTCCCGTGCTCTGCTGACTGGGCGACTGGCCAGGTTCATAATCACCGGCATGATCAGTCTCGCCTTGGTTGGCGGAATCGCAATGAACATGCTCTCGTTGCAGCCGACCATATTTGCCCAACTCGCCAATTCGACAGAGGAGGCTATTCAAGTCGGACCAGCCGGCGTCAACCTGACAGAACTCGACTTGGAGGAATCGCCTAAAAGCAACGATTCTGGCTCATTTGACTACGGCCTGCTAGCGGAATGCAGGAGAAGAAACATTAGTCACATTACAAAGATAGTCTATCACATTGATCTGATTGTATTTCGAGCTATTCCCTTTGCCACAATGCTCATCTCTTCTGGCATCTTGGCCTGCTTGATCCGGTCTCAGAGCCGTCGGCGGAACGAACTTGTTCACAATTTATCCCTAGTTCAGCGTCGTCATAGGGCTGTACTGCAGAGTCGTGAAAGCCGAGCCTCCCTACTTCTCTTGGCAATGAACGCCACAGCATTGCTAACCAATCCTCTCTTTCTCATATTTGAGCTGTGGGATGGAGAAGCGAGTGAGGGGCATCCAGCGGCCAAGTTGACCGGCGATGTTTGTGTCTCTGCCATGCTGACCACCTTCTTCAACTTTCTGATGTATTTCAACAACCAAACAAATTGGATATTTTATCTAACATTTGGTGCTCGATTTCGCCGTCACATCCAAGATTTGGTCTTGTGTCGATGCTGCGAAGCTGGCCTTGGTCGAAGGAATACTAAAGCACGGATTGGAGGTGGCGGCATTGCTTGCAGTCTTGGTCCAAGTAGCGGCTACTGCTACGGCCGTGGTGGCAGTCGGGGCAGCAATTCCCTACTCGCGGTCTCATATTCGCATACTCGGCCTTTAGATCTTGAACAGACCGTTTGTCTTTCTTTGGTAGGAGAAGCTGAACGGGGTGATGCATATCACTCGGAAATTTTGCCGGAGCAAATGAAACACAATTCATCTGGAGAAATGGTACCATCGTCCCCGAAGCCTTCTATTACACGATCGCGTCACCTCTGCCCGTCACATTCCTCGTCAAATCTTAGCCACTTTAAAAAGTGGGTATACCATTCTTCCAAGCATCGACGAACATCACGCACAGATCAGTTCATGCAGACATTTATTCATTGTCTGGCATATACATGCTTCTCGGGATGTTGTTGCAATTCTAGAAGCAGGATTTTAGGTCGGCTGAAGTCAACTGCAACTCAGGAGAGCATAGTCACTAATGCAAATGAGTCCAAACGGAGCCCTTCATTAGGCGAAAGCTCCCCTCATTGTGTAAGGTCGGTTCGTATCAAGAAGTCTAAAAATGATGCTCAGAATACAGGCATTAAACTGGATGTTTTGTGCAGACAAAAAGTCAGACTTAACTCAACAGACAGAATACTTTATTCAGTGTCACCATTTTCTCATCAGAGGATAAAATCTGTGTCGCTTCAGCAGGAATTTACTCATTGTTTTAATGAGTCTATGCCTGAAAATTTGTCAATAAACAATTGTGTAAGTAATCGGACAAAAAACGACATGACAACTTAGGATGTACCCACCAGTAAATACTGATCTCGATTTCCACGTTTGATGCGAACAGAGCACAATGATTGCACAAAATATCTGGGCAGATTTATTCATAATTTTTACATTTCGACAGTTTGCCTATGAAGGATGCCTGAGAATTAATCGTTCAATGAGTCCTCTGCGTATCGAAAGAATAGACACTTTCCTGTGTACATTTAGTTACCATGCAAGACAAACTTTTGTTACAACATTGTAAATAAAGACTATCTGGTGAATCACTTGTGTCGTTGAAAGCCGGAGAGAGAATAAGTAAACATTCCCATAAAAAGTAAGAATTACTATAATCTTGAAAATTTTGGGAGGGATTAACGCTGTTGTATTTATGTTAGTATGCAAAGTGTATTCGAAAATTTAGCATATCCAGTTGTATTTGAGGATTTATCGTTATATATCAATGAAGTTCATCATAAAAATATGCCTCTTAAGGCCCTTGGATTAGTTATTTTTACATGTTAGATTATTAAGTATAATGAATCTCTAAATATATATAGAATTTTGCCCTTCAATTTGGATTCATTGTTAAAATAATTCGTCACAACTATCAAAATATCATTGTCGTGAATTATTTGTTATTGTCTCTCAGACACTAATGATACTTTATATTTAACACTAAATAATTAGTTTTAAGTAAAACATCATATATAATGTGATTGCATTTGTGGCTAACAGCCAAGATTGCTTCATAATCATAGTTGATAAATGCATTTTCTTGATAGGTTTAAGGATATTTACTTAGTTAACTACTTAATATTAACTATTATAAAATGCAATTTAATGCCCCTCCAGCAATGCCTATTAAAATATACACAAAATTTACCATGGAATCTACTTCATATAAGTAGAATTTTTAAGGAACTTACGTATTTATCAATTTCATTTAACCCATGTATCTCCTTTGTTCTGCTCATAGGGCTAGGTGTTGAAAGGCCAATTAAGTACTCAAGCAATTTAGAACTGTGAACTCGTAGTCCAAGATCTGCGTCACATGTTTTCATTCCAAATAAATTTGTTTTGATAGATAAATCAATCGATCTTGGAAGTATACTTTCTTTTTCAAAAATAACTGAATATCCTAATT